GCCCACATTTTTGCAGCTGGGGTTGGACTGCACCTGCTGAGGAAGCAGTCTGTAGGCTGCACATTCTTTGCTGGCTTCAAAGAATCCCTCAGATCCACAGGCCTTTGGTGAAACACTTGAGAGGGCAGAAATGCCTGAGACACGGATAGGAATTCGCAGGGATTCAGAGGCTTCCATTTCTGTTTTTGTGTGCCACAGATGTATTATCCCAAACACATCCACTTTCTAAGATGTTTTGAAACAGGAAATTATCTGTAGAAGTTTCTGCCTGATGTTTAGATCACACACCTGGCTGTAAAGATGAAAGCAATAAAAACAGATTGTCTATATGTGTTATACTCCTGCCTTACTCTGCTGCACATATACTAGCTATTGTTAATAAGAAGATGGCCAGACTCTTTGCCATGGATAGTGTGTAGGCACATATAGGCAGTGCCAATACAAAGAGTTTACAACCCAAAAAGCATACACCACAACTGCCTTACTGCATCTATACAGCTATATAGGCAATATATGTTATATTGTCTACATAGTCGACAAATAACAAAGCCCTAGTGCATTCAGAGCTCATCAGTATATGCCACTCTTTTCCACAGAGGATTCAGAGAAGCGCTTTTCTCTGATCCTTTCAAGATGGACTTTAAATTAAACACATCCCTCACGTGCTTCCTATAAGCAGGTCCCACCCTGCCGCGTCAAGTGAGGTGTTAGGAGAGGTGCCACTGACCTCAGCATTGCCCTGCTGTGTCCTGCCCTGGATCAGAGTCTCATCCCAAGGCCAACACAGACTCTGGGGCCCTGCAGGATCAGTATGCAGCAGGAGCCTTACCCTAAGTCCAAAACTGCCACATCACAGTCTCTTATCAGGGACAGAGGCTGTAGTACAACTGTTGCATACAGGACATGATAGGCCCCTTTCTACAATGCCTGGGACACTCTGGAAAGTTGTGCTGGGGTTTCAGGGAATCTGGGGACAGCTGGTCACCTCCAGTCATCTCCACAGTTCCCTGAAGGTTCAGATTTCTTGTCATCACAGCTGCCAAGGGAGAGGTGTCGCTCTGTAGAGTCACTGCGAGATCTTGAGTGCAGCAAGAGCCGTGCTCACCCTGCTGCCCTACCTAAGACAGCTGGATACAAGATGCTTCCTCAAGAATGAAGCCAACTTGGCAATCAGGACTGTGTGATTCTGTCAGTTCAGGAGCTCTATCACACTTGGGTGATCTTGGAGCATCTTTCCTGCAACTAATGAGTGCAGCTGAGGTTAAAAGCTGTGGATTTTGCCTTAATCCATACACCCCACGAGCTGGACTTCTTCTCAAGCATGTGGAGTGGGGCCTTAAGCTGTGTGATGCTGTGCTCCAGCCCTTCTGTCTCTCTCAGCCCTTCTGCTCCTGAGGGAAGATCCTCCCAGCCAGTACCAACTTCATTTCAACAAAAGGGAGTGGAAAGAGAGTGTAAAAGCTCTTTGTCCACAGGACTCAAGGGACGAAACTAGTGGTAAAAACACTTCAAGTGTCTCTCTAAGATGTGTCTATCCTGATAGTAGACATACACATTTCTACTCCCACCCGTTGCAGAAGGCTTCAGCTCTCCACTATCTCAAATGCTCACAACCTCAGACTGAGTGCTTGCAGAGCTGACCAGATGGGATTCAGACAGTGCCAGCCACAGGAAGGATGAATGCCCCATCTCCTGCTTGCCATGTAGGGCTTTCTCCCTGCTCTGCGCCCACCTCTTGCATCGCCATGTTCATTCCCTGTGTCCACCATCCTGCTGCCACTCATCCCCAACAGAACCTTCTGAATTGGAAGGGACCCATAAGGACCATCTAGTTCAACTCCTGGCTCCAGACAGTACAACCCAAAATCCAACCCACTCTGCCTGAGAACAGTGTCCAAAAGCCTCTTGAACTCCAGCAGCTTGGGGCTGTGCTCACTGCCCTGGGTAGCCTGTTCCGTGTCCTCAGCCCTCTGGTGCAGAACCTCCCAGTTTAGTATCATCAGCAAATTTTCTTGGACATTGCCACAAAGAGCCAGTGGGGGACCACAGCCTCTCTCTGCCTCCCAGCTCTTCAGCCTGGTGACCCCTGGGATCTGACGTCAGCCCTAAGCCTCTGCCATATCTCCTGGCATCCCCAGTGAAAAGGACAGCCTGAGCAGCAGCCCAGGACATGTGGCTGGGAAAGAAATGTGCAAGGGAAAAGCAGGAGCACTTATTAAATGGCTTGTTCAAAGATAAATCCTGGCCATCTGTCAGCCTGCCCTAGAAGTGGCACTGCTGCAGCAATTAGCAGAAGGAAAGGCAGTAGAGATGCCAAGGAAAAGAAGCAAACAGCAGCTTGCTAACATTTCACATGGGTCTGAAGCCAATATGGTGAAGGAAGGAGCCTGGGGAAAAGCGCAGGGAAGGGAGCATGTACTGCTTAGAGAGGGGTGGGGCTGCAGAAAGGAGTGGGAGCCTCCAGGGGCTATGGGCTGATGGGGACCAGTACGATTTAGCAGACAGTGTCCTGGGAGCAGCTCCAGCCATGGGGCCCTCGGGCACCACATGATCCTGGGCTCTGCTCTGCGGAGAAGCCCCTGCAGCAGGAGTTGTTCTGAGGCCTAGGGCCATAGACTGGGGGCAAGTGTTGCAGATGTGGCCATAGGGACAGTGCAACTATGCACCCCTGGCTGTGACAGTGGCTGTTGGGGCTGTGACAGCGGCTGTGCCACTGAGGTCCTTGGTGAAGTTGGGCTGAGGCTCCACACAGAGCTGAAAATCCACTTTAAAATGCAAATCTGAGATTATAATTTCTAATCCCTTCATTGACAAAAAGTGCAGACGGGACAGAGATGTCAGCTCTCTTTCTCTCCATCCTATGGGATCGAAATGCATTGAGGTGTTTGTACTGCAGGGGACACAGCTGTGGGTATGGTGGTGCCATCAGGAGGGCAGGCAGGGGTGGAGGGTGATGTGTCTACCTCCCACCAAGAGCACTCATCCCTCTCCTTCTTTTGTCCCATCCCTACCGAGATGCAGTCTCCAGGGGCATGGCAGGGACTGAAACCAGTGCCAGAGTTGCTCTGAGTGGGAGCCAGGGGTGGTGATGCTTGTGCCACTGTGACAATGTGAATGTCACAGTCTGCCTGCACCTCTGACCACGAGCATCACTTGAATGTGCCATTAGAGATGCAGAAAGAAGAGGAAAGTTGTTAAAATGCGTATACTTCTCCCTGAAGGGAGAAGGTGAGACAGGAGATTGAGAGGATGCCAAACAGAGAAGAGGAAGGGGCAAAGAGGGCAGGAAGGAGTGGCAGGGACTGACCCAGGGGCTGCTGCACAGGCCAAGCAGGCAGAGGGGTGCTGGCAGCTAGCCCCCATGGGAGTCCTCACTTTTCAGCCATCAATCAAAGTCTCCCATCTTCCCTTTCCCAAAGGCCTGAAAGGTGTGTTAGGAGTGGAACAGACCTTGCATCACTTTCATGGCAGCGTCCAATGCATCATTTAATAGAAAAGTGAAGAGACTACGAGCAGCGATCACCTGGACAAAACGTGGCGGTGCCACTCAGTGTCTGTGTGGTACTGCACATCTTACACACACGTTCACACATTCATGACCAGCTGCTGGAGCACACTGGGGCGGCAGGAGGATGAACTCCCCTGTCCTGGGGAGGATCGACCCTGCATCTCCAGGGTTGTGGTGCTTGAGCAGCATCAAAGCCATCCTAAGGCCTTCTACATCACCCACAGCTCCTGCTGCTGCTGCACAGGGCATGGGGGTAAAGACATTCATTTTTTATGCAGCCCTCAGGAAAAAGAGGATTTTGAAGGGATTTGAGCACAGCTCCCTAAATAGCTCCTTAGAATTAAGGGGTTTCGGGTGGATTATGCCAAGCACCAGCAGGTGTTGGGTGCCGTGGGGAAGCAGGAGGACAGGAGACCTGAGGCTATGGGAGTCACAAGCTCTTCAGCTGGTGTCCAAAATCTACAGCCAAGAAGTCACCAAGTGCATGTGGCTGCTTCACCGTGTCTGCACATGGGTAGCATTCTGGGACGTGGGGTGAGCTAACGGATCCAGCCCCATCCCTGCATTACCATTGAGCAGGAAGACTGACTGCAATGGAGGTGAGAGAGCTGAAGTGCTAAAGAAGGGAATTGGCCGCTAGGGCAGAGCTGACAAAGGGCGAGATCCTCCCTGCACAGCCACAGACACCAGGCTTGGCAGATCCAAATATCTGGTGGTGGATGTGGGATAGTGCAAAATCAGGAAATGCTGCAAAGTCTTTCAGAGCAGGCACAACTCTGCAGAAACTGGTGGAGTGAGGTTTGAGAGCCTTCTCTTTGTAATGCCAAGCAATAATATTGCTTGGCACAGCTCACTCTGATCTAAGGAGGGAAAAGACAGCTATAACAGGTTATAACTGTGATATTGGGATGGGTGTAGGACTTTAGGGATTGGGCAGCCAGGGGTAAAGGGCTGAGTGAGCTCACAGCTGAGCCACAGACAGGCAGGGAAAAGTGACAAGGGTGGTAGGAGGAGATGTGAGAGGAGGAGAGAAATCAGGCTGGAAACACAGATAGAAATAGAAGGAAGAGAAGGGAGAGCTGCAATTTGTGGTAGTACCAGCAAAAAAGGAGGACAAAGCTCATTGAAGCAGTTCATTTCCACTGGGTGGATGGGAGTTGGGAAGAAACGTGGCAAGAGAATGAAAGGAAGCAAGACAAAAGAAAGAGACAGAGAGAAAATGATGGGGAGGAAGCTGAGTGGATGGCTATTTCTCACTGAATATTGTTACCCTGAGAACACCAGCGTAGGGTAACACCGTTGCTGCCCCAGGAGCGAAGCCCTGCATGTGCAAGGGAGCTCTTGGCCAAGAGTTTCCAAAAGGACTGCTGACTCCAGCTTCCTCTACCTGAGGCTGGGGTTGCCCCAATACCCTTAGAAAATGAAGATCTTTCACAGTTTTAGGGCCTCATTCAAGCACTGACTTTTTTGCCCATTACCCACTTCTGAAGTTCTTGGCCTTTAAGGGGAGGGAGGTGATGTGACTGGGAATCACAGGTGAAAGCAGGATTTGTAGTAAAGGTCATTCATGCAAAGACCAAAGACGAACAGCAATGATTCTATGATTCTATTAAGTGCCCTCAGCAGAGATGTCCTCTCAAAGGATATGAGTGGGCTCCTTTATTGCCCAGTTTATAAACATGGGTGAAAGTGGAATACAAATTTTCAGATACACTATAGTGCATAAAATTACAGGATAAGGAAGAATGATACTTCTGTAACTAGCTGAGATTAATTGTGATTGCAGCTCTTAGTGTTTGGCTTTCAGCTTTACAAGATCCAGCCTGTACATTCAGATCTTCAGGTCAAGGTGTGGCTGCTGTACAGAGCTGCAAAGGGCAAGGCTCTCCAGAAGAGAGGGGCTGTCTTCTGCACCTGACTGTGGCTCATGGGCCAACCTGCTGGGTAGGTGGTAATGGTTGGAGATGTGCAGGGCTGAAACATGGTACCTAAAAGTATTGCATCCTCTCCCGATGCCTTTCTTCAGTTTGAGCTATGTCCTATTGCTACCAACATGCAGGGCTCCTCACTGGAATTGCTTGATCTGCCACAACCCTTCCAGAGTTGCATTTGCTAGCACTGTTTTATGCTACATCATTTGATCACCATCTGAGATTTGAACCTGGTGGCACGTGGCTCTCTGGGGTGAAGCAAGGCTGCGTACTATGGGGCATGCTGTGTAGGATCACATGGAAATGCAAAATGAAGGGAGAAACAGTGAACCGTCAGTATTAAGCTCTCTAGAAATACCACCTCTGGTCGAGAGGCTACAGGCTGCTCCTCTCTGAGAGCCTGGGCCAGAGTGTTGCACGATGGAGACAGTCAGTGATGTGACACGGGGTCTGCTGAGGGAACAGAGGTGCTGGAGTTCCTCTGCTGGGTCCTCTCATGCAAAGCCATTGCAGAGCCGGGGGCAGCGGGCTGTGCCAGAGGGACTGGAGGGATGGCATGGTGTGGGCAGCTATGGGGCAGGGCGAGGAGCTCCGGCTCTCCTCCTAGACGGCAGCGTCTGATCCCCTGCCATTCAGAGACGTCTTCGGCTGGAGGCCATTCTTCTGCACCTGCACATCTGGCTGGGGCTGCGTCATCTGCTGGAAACGCTGCTCGGGAACAAGGGGAGAGAGGGTGTCAGCTGAAGACTGGGATCCCCAGCCCCCAACCTCGGGGTGGCCCTATTGCCAGCGTGAGGGGATGGTAACGTGGCAGGGGATGCCCTTGCAGCACCACTCTATCTATCTCTGTTGCCAGGCCATGTGAGCCCCCTGCTTTGGTTCTGTGCAGAGCACTTCTACTTGAAGTGCAGGATCACCTTTATAACATGGGGAAACAGCCACCAGGCAGTACCTGCTGCTAATGGGAGCAAGGGAGAGCTGTAATGGCACAGACTTCAGAGCAAAGCCATTTTCCAAGCTTCCCCGTTTTTGCAGCTAGGGTTTCCTGTGAAATGTCATTAACCAACTGCAGCATGCTGACAGGTCACGGTCTGTGACTCTAATGTGGATCAGACCAGTCCAGCTGCACAAACCTTTGCACCAGCAGTGATTCCCACCGCCATAAACTGATCAAATGAAAACTGTAAAGAGCAATAAAATGAAGCCAGAACCCAGGAAGATACAGAGGGGCAAGTCATTACTGGAAGCGTGCAGACTGAGCATCGGGAGTGATGAATGCTTATGAGTCACTTTGTCTGCCAGAGTGGGACTGGTGCAGCAAAAGAGAAGGCAGAGGAAAATAGAGCACGACCTGAATAGGCATCACTAAGCCAGGAAGAAGCTCTTTGCAGCAAAGGGAAACAAGCTCCAACTCTCCAGCTCAGCTGAAGTGGCTGTTGCTGGGTGAATTCCCTGAAACGATCACTGAGCTGCTTCTGCCATTCATGGTCTTTTCTTTTCCCCTCACATTCGTGCTCAGTAGGATCAAAATGACTTGTAATCTTCCCTGTCTGTCAAAACCACTTTATTCAGCATTGGCATCTAATTTCCCTACAGCTTCAGCTCTATTACAAACTAATCCAGGATCTGTGCATATAAGAGGCCAAAAATTCTCTCCATCTCTCTGGAACACGCACACACACACACAAAAACCTGCCTCCCTCCTGCTGCCATCTGCTGATTCTCTTTGGATCTATGAGCACCAGGAGCAGAAGCCCTCAGCCAGCAGTGCAGCTACTCCAGGAGAGCCACAGGCTGGCTTGGCTCCCCCAGATGCCAAGATGTGTTGTCACATCCCTAATGGGAACAGGATTGAAAACATATCTGTTTGTTTGCCAGAATTCCCTTTTCCCCCTTTTCCAGCTCCTATTATGAGGGGTTAAGAAGCCCTCTAGAAATCTGAGTAAGACTTTCCTAGTGGAACCGCAGCTGGCCCTCAACCCAGCATCATCCTATTGGCTTGGCATTACATAGGTCTGAGTGCTGCAGAACCTCAAAGCTGCTCCCAATACAAACAGTAAGAATCAGAAACTGAACTCAAATGAGAGACCAGAAACTGAAAGCTCATCTGAGACATCAGACCCAGGCAGATCCTGTAGCAGATCTCATCTAAATAGAGAGCTGGGAGGAAGGAAAGTCAAATCCACCTGCAACCTGACCTCAGATGCAGAGGGCCTGAAGCTGATTTCAACCCAGCAGCTCTAGCCAAAGCATGTGGACTTAAACATTACTCAAACTATGACATCCACGAACTAAACTGGCGGGGCTTAGATGGCGCCAGCTGGCTGTTGAAGGCAGGCTGGGAAAGTCATAAATCAGCAGCACCCCTGCAGTGACTGCTCGCACCTGTAGCTCACAGCAGACAGCATCGAGACGGGGACTTTATGCACAGCGCTCTCAAGATTGAACGTCAACACTGTAAATAAGATCTCAACAGCAATTACCATGTATGACATACAGAGATTCGTGATTCACTGCTGCATATAACCTCGCTCAAATCAAGAATTAAAAAAATATATTTTAAGCAAGATCAAAGAGTTGCAGGTATTTTGGGTTCTGTACAGATTTCCGCCTTGCTTCTTATCCCCCTCATACACTGACTGCTGTTTGCAAAGCTGTCTCCATCACTAGCAGGTCTTAGCCCTGAGTTATCTCAAGCTTCATGCTTGGAGGATGCTGATGTCTCTGCTGAAAAGTGCCAGGTAACTGCTCACAGCCAGGGACCGCTGGGAATGGGATTTCTCTGTGTTACAAAATCTTAAGGATTTCTTCTTCATAGAAAAGGAGTGGCAAAGTCATACATACCTGCCGGAGAGTCCCTGTTGAGGTGAAGAAGCTGTACAGCATGTATCCTGGGATCAGTACCATGGAGGACAGCGCCATGAGCCAACCAATACCTTGTCCCCATGCAGGATAGATGTATTTGCCCAGCGTCAGAGGGGTCATTTCCACCACACTGAATAAGAACACACCCTGGGAAAAGAACACCAGCCATCGCAAGTGAGGGTGTGCAAGATCAGAGAAACATCCATTAATTTCTCCCTTCATCACTCTCTTAGTGCCAAACAGTCTTACGGCAATCCAACAGCTCCTTAAATTATTATAGAAGCTTTCAGCCCATCATCTCTTAATTTTCTATCATTTCCCCCCTGACTACCCTATGCTGAAAGCTAGAACTAGAATAACCCTGATTTCCTTCTTCACCAGACTGCTCACATAAGCAGTGCCCTTGCAAGCAGTTCCTAACCAAGTTGACAGCATCTTTACAGCTGGCCTCAGGAGCCTTTAACTTCCTATCATTGGCCTTCTCACACCATTCTTTGTTCTACCACTGCTGGAAATGTGAGAACCAGCAAAAGCAAAATTGCTCCACCATCAGCTGTACTGTATTTGCTGGCGTCTTTTGCTCTGACAAGCCTATTAGGCACCAGTGCAGGAGCCGCAGTGGCTGAGAACCTTCTCTTCTACCAATAACAGCTTTTAAATACAGTAAATTATTTGCTTGTCTCTTGACGTCTCAGATAGAAGAACTGAGAGCATCTTTTAGATTAAGTAATTAACTCTGAAGACTTTCTTACTCGCTATTTCCAGCTGTACTTTGCCTATCCCAGGTACCTTGCAGTTATGGACAGACCGTTAGTGGAATTAAAATGTAGTGTATCCCCTACAGCCCTTCCAAACTAAGAGCCCTTCTGGATTCACTCCTGCAGATATGACCCTTCTGTTCTTACCAGGCAGACAAGAGGAGTGAAAAATGCCCAACAGATTTTCCACCAGATGCAAGGTTTGTAGCCGATCATTTCTTCAATGTTCCTGTAAAATCTGTTCACACCTAAAAGAAAAGGCTGTTGAGAAGAGCATCCCATCTCTGTGCCCCATAGGCTTCACCTCTTCTCATGAGAGAGCAAAGGTCAGCCACAGCAAGAAGGTGACAACGCTGTGGTGTAAGAGCCATTATCTGTGGGGCCCAAGGATGGGGACACAAACACAGGGTCATCTTGCACACTGCAGGTGTCTTAGGAGGAGCTGAAGGCAGGACCATAGGCATCTGCCAGTTAGTGCACAAGTCTTTGTGGTGTTCTGTGGAAGAGAGATGATAGCCTCCTGCTCCTGATTTTCTGGCATTATCAGCCTCAACTATTTTCAGTTGCAAATCTTTTATTGCCTTCACTGTTGGATGCTTTTGAAAAAAATCACCCTTTGCCCGTAGAGACAAGAAAGAAACAAGGTCTTTTTCTGCTTACCATAACACCAAGAAATTGAGATGGTCTCAAAGAAGACAAGAAAGAGAAGACACATGCCACTGGCTGAGTAGTAATCAAACAGCTTGAAAACATAAATGCCACCCTGAGGAGACAAAGCCAGGGTCAAGGAGTTTAGTTATGGATTATGTTTGACAATATCAGCCAGCTGCTTCAATTGCTACTAACTACATCTGCTGGCTTTAATGTTAATTTCTCCAGACAGGAGAGTAGGCGCTGAAATGTTTCCACTGGAATCAGGTTCCCAGCAGAAAAACTGGTGTGCTCTTGAAGGCAATTAGCCAGCTTGTTCAGGTATGGCCAACGGCAAGTAGAAAAAATGGGGATTCGTGAGGCTTTCTTACTTATCCCTGTTTTAGTTGGAGTCACTTAATTAGTTCACTCTGCCCCTCCCAGGAGTTTTGTTGCTTTGCACCTCACAAATCTACAGACCACTCAGTCCTATATTCACACACATAAACCTTGGCTTCAGCCCCAGAGGTTTCAGGGCTCCAAGAGACTGGTCTTTATGTTATCTTAACCCTCTGCACCAAGTGTTCCTTCAGCATGGGCTTTGCTGGCCTGAGCCCTTATTGCAAATAGCAAGAGAACACACTAGGCTGACTACAGGATGACCGCAGCAATTATGGAGGCATCACTTGAGATGTGACAGCAATGATAAGCCCATATGTCCAGAATTGGGATGGCTCCTACAGATGCTGTCACTTCTCCTAAAGCTTTTGGTGCTCCTGTGAAATCCGTGGGTGACTGGGCAGGTGCCAGGAATGGACGTACAAGCATGGCTGTCTGTACCTGGGTGATATTGGAGAATCCAACGAGATAAGAGATGAAACAGACTATTGCTATGAAGATCTTCTTCCTGGCTCTTAGGATATGAGGATATTCATCCATCAGGGCAGTAACGAACCCCTCTACAGTGCAGAACTGCAGCAAAAGACAACACCAAGGAAACATTTGTAAGTATCTTAGCCTGACATCACCCCCACCTACATTTAACCCCAGTGTTGACAGCCTCATTACTTTAAGTGTCATCTGCAGACAGTAGAAAAGAAGGCTCTGCACAGAGCTGCCCTGAATCACGTCCTGAAAGTACCCCTCTCTCTTCACTGATTATACAGGGAATTAAAAACACTGAGCTTAGATGCCTAAAATTAGCTGAGATGCATCTCCACCTTTGCCTCCCCTCAAACTCTCGAGGGCCACCCCACTGCTGTCCTGCTCCACAGCTCTGCCACCTCTCCATCACAGCAACAGCTCTGCTGCTGGCACATATGCTCGTCTTTTCCCTGGTGTGCTCTTCTCAGCATATTGCAGCAGTGCTTGTGCTGTTTAGTGATCTAAAGCACTCATCATGTTGCTGTATCACCCACTGTCCAGTCCCACATGCAAGTGTTAACAACAACATCTCTGACTACCTGTTCCTTGAGTTTATTTCCCTTTTTTCAAGCGCTGCATTAAAATGCATGTAGTACATTCAAAGACCATCCTCACAGCATGTGGTCTTTCTAGAGCTGTGCTGTACTAGACACAGTGAGTTAATGCTGTCTGTACCATGATCTGCCCTATAGCAAGTTGTGTATGTGTGAAGCACATCCTTCTCTCCTATTTCCTCTTAAATTATGAGATTCACTTTCAGGTCTTGCTCCTAGGAACCACAGGTAACATACAGCTCTCAGAGAGCACATCTTGCCCATTGCAAAACCACTGGGAAGTTGATGAGGGCAACAAGCTCCTGGTTTCCCCGGTCACCCTCAGTGAACATACAAACCAGTGCAGTGGCAGTGACAGATGGATATCAGAGACTTCTCTGTCCCCCAGGAGAGTGCTGTAGAAAGTGGGGGCATTTTTAGGTTCAGATTTGAGACAAGAAAGAAGACAATCAATAGAGATGGAGGTAGAAATACACAGACAAAAAGAGCAGCAGAACACTGGAAAAAATCTATGGAAGCAAAGCCAGAGATCTGAGTAACTCCTACTGCTGTGCAGGGATGGTAGAGGAGCTGACATCCCATTGGCTTCTGGGACACAGAGAGAGGCAAAGAGCAATATTCCTGCCTGGGGTTTTATCTCCACATGCTGCAGTACGGAAAGCTGCATCCCAGAGAGCCCAAGCTCAATTGCTTTGTTTGGAATTTGTAATGAGCTCAGCCTTTTATGTAGGACTTGTGTCCAACATAAAGCATCCCTTTAAATGTCCATTAAAGTATCCCTTGCCATTAGAGCATGGGTTAATCTGTCTGTATACTCATTGTCAGCGAGCTCTTCACCCTGTCCCACCTGCTCACTGTCTACAAGAGTCAGGACAGAGCTGGTACCACAGTGTGAAGCATCAGCATGACGAAACCAACCCTGTCGAAAGCTATTCCTTCTGCATGGATGCATGGCCAGAATCTGGCACTGGGCAAGGCAGGGATGGACAAGGGCTGGGAGGGACTGGGGGAGAGAGTGGGCATGAAGGGATTCCAGCATGTAATAGGTAAAATGGGGAACCAAGCAGTGCCATGCTGGTTTTTCTAGCCCTAAAACAGAACTTCTTACCGTTCATTGGAAATGACCTTCTGTCAGTCTCAGACTGCAGGGAGCTACAGGAGCTGGAGGGACTCTACTTACAGCCTTGGGACTGCAGGCCCATGTGTGGCCTAGGGTCTTACTTTCCCAGCCCACATACCTAACCTTATCCCCAGGATAAGCAGGCAGCTGGGGGAAAGCGTGCTGCTTTCAAGAGTGAGGACAGCCTGCTGATTTGGGGGCCACAATAACATTTTTCACCTCAAGGTTTTATTTCCAGTCACTTCTCTCTTTTTTCCCATTTTGGTGCATGATCACCATCACGAGCTGCTGGGTTGAATGACCTGGACTTGGCAGTCTCTCCCCCATCCTCACAGTGCTGAGGATGTGCTATTTCTCTTCAGCAATAACCAGAAGGAGAATTGTGGCCTGAGCAGGACCGGGACTGGGACCAGGACCTGTGAGAAGGTTAACCACAGCTGCCAGATGTGCAGCATGGCTTTTACTATTCTCAGCCATAAATCCTCATGCATAACCTGCAAGAGGCAGGTCTCGCAAAGGGCAGATGCAGGCTTGCAGTCACAAGGCTTGTCAGCTCCCTTGGGGAGTAAAACGCCTGACCTGGAAACTGGTAGGTTAAAAGAAAGCATTAGCATGTTATGCAAGAGGGTCTAGACGCAAGAGAGCTAAAGCCGGAGTGGATCAGAGGCAGAGCAAATATTAAGGACCACAAGCAGCAAGTGGGGGCATAGGAGGGAGGTGCACACATCAATGTAGGTCACTGCTTGCATTCAAGGCACTGTGGAAGAGATGAGCATGATGGCAGAGAGGCAGATGGAGCTGCACTGCTGAGCTCTTTGCTGAGCCTCAAGGACACAAGTGAACCACCTTGCAGCACTGCTGAGGGGATGGGTCTCATCGCTGCATCACACAGACCTCAGCCTGACCTTCCCTTGCTGGCCAGGCTCCCATACCCCTCTGGCCCCATGCCTGGAGGGTGGTGAGGGTCCCTGCTGTGCCCTAATGAAAGCAGCTGCTCCTCATCTGCAAGTACCACAAACACTATTTAAAACAAGCACATATCAAAACTGCCATTTTTGAAATGGATACTTCAAAATGCATGTGTAATTGCAGCCTGTGTTGTTTTATACGGCTAAGCTGCCGTTCTGTAAATCGTGTGATTGACTCAGAGTGCCACCATGCATGCAGAAAGCTCCTTCCCATCTATTTATCTGCCCTTCTTTAAAAACTTGTTTTCCATTTGGTGCCTCCTTTCCCCGCTCCTCCTCCAGGCACTGATAGCCCCTCACAGACCGACCGCCCTCCAAGACCGGCTGGTGGAGGGACCTGGAGAATTTCAAGTGGTATTTGAGAAGCAAATGCAGCAAATAAATTCCACACAGTGCTTTGAGGGCTTATTGTCATGTCTGAAACTATTTACTGGAGCTGAGTGAATAATCCATGGAGAGCGGTGGTTTTTGGTTTTGGTTTTTTTTTTCTGTAAATGGAGCTTCTTTCGAAACGTTTAGTCATTATTTGAAATTATTTGCCAAATAATGTCTGTGGTAATGCAGCTGAGAGCTCCAGGATGTGTTTTTGTGGAAGCGTGCTGTAACTGAAAAGCAGGTATGGTTGATTGTATTTTTCGTGGAAACAAAGTATGACAGGTCAGGGAGTCTGATCAGGAATTAGATTTGGTTTTATGAAGGCTATGTGCAACCCAGGAGAGAGTCCATTTTGTTCCAAGGCTTTGCACAGCAAGAAAGACCATGCTGTTACAGGGAAGGATGTGACAGACCCAGGCAGGCACACACTTTTGAAGGCTTCGGTTGCACCCTCTCCTCCAGAGGGAGTGCCTCACCAGATAGCAACATTTATGCAAAATTATCAGATTAAAAACGTATCATTACTTGTTAAAAAAAAATACAGAGCCCATACTATTTTGTTTTGCAATATTTTCCCAAGGCATGGCTTCTTTCCACCTGCTCGTTACGAAGCCAGCCTGGGAGCTCAAGAAGCAGAGCACTTCACCTCTGCTCAGGACTATGCTAGTTATTAAAAACAGTGCCAAAACACTGCACCAAACCACTATTCCCACTGCTTCAGATGCTGCATCTCTGCTTTTGTCAGTGCAACCTGCCAATGCCATGGCAGAGAGATATGGTCTAGTGGGAGACTGGTATGTGCTGGGGACTTTCTACTCCAGCCTGCAACAGTAAGCCAAAGTAATGGCATTCTCTTACTGTGCCTCACAGGAAATCCAGGTTGGTGAAGGTGCTCCGATACCACCCCACTTGCAGCATATGAGAAGAGTGCAAGGGTGATGACCACAAAAGAGAGTTTTTTTCATGTGAAAGAATCTGTGAAAAAACACTGACTCAACGTGCAGAAGGGAAAACCACCATGAGGTCCAAAAATATCTTTGTATTTTACCCCATTTTGTCTCTGGGCTGCCTCACCTGACTATCCAGGCCCAGCATCATCAGCATAGAGAAGAAGAGGATCGACCAGAGTGGGGACAGGGGCAGTTGGGTGACAACCTGCGGATAGGCGAGGAAAGCCAGTCCAGGGCCTGCAGAAGTGAAATGAGAGATGAGTTCACATTTATAAAGTGTTTGATGGAAAGTCATAGTGATGAGCAACAGTGAAGAGAAACAGTGATGACAGGCAGAAACTGCGGGAAGTTACTACAAGAGGTGTTACCCATGACACACCAACCACGTTGGGTGCACAGGGGTGGGATGGGAGGCAGCAGTGACTGGGGAGATGCTTTGCCTTTTCTCCTCCTGCCAGTGAGAGTCATCAAATCACTGCTACCAAATGGAGCTGGAGCACTTTGCTAGAAAAAAAAAAAAAAGAAATTTGGAGCTGGTGTCTTTTTTTTCCCCCCATCACATAATGCTGTTACTTGAGATAAAAGGTTTTTCTGGAAAGACAGCAATTTCAAAATACATCTTTGGGCAAAAAGACACAGTCTCATCTACATTTTTAAAAAATTATTCAGAGATCACGATTTCAAAATCTTGCATGGAAAAAGGACACCAAGCTTTGATCACATCTACTGAGAACATAGGCAGTATGTGAGGAAGCAAATGTTCTCCAAGAAAGGTTTCAGAAAGCAAACAGACAAAATATTTCACTGCAGCTAAAGCTCACAAAACCTCACCACTGAAAGCAGGTGGACATTAAAAGGAGTCAGGAATGGTCCCTGCAGCAGGAATTGGTGTGCAGTGAATGTCTGGTGATTCAGACTGGTCTTGGGCAGAAAACATACAAAGATGGCTGTGTGCTTGGTCATGGAGAAGAAAGACCTGGGAGCATCCCACACGCATGGACAAATTTCTCTAAAAATGCTGCTGTTGCATTTGTACCTGGGTTTGCTATTTTGGGTGACTTGTGGAAACTTTCCATGGTGGATCTTCAAGTGTGTGAAGTGGTATTGGCTACACCAATACACAAACCATCATTATACCAGTGACAGAGAATCTGGCCCTTTACACATGCACAACATATAAAGGTTTCCCAGGAAAATACTAAGATCTGAGTCCTGCATTTTAACTAAAGAACAACTCCTAAATAACAATGCAGAGAGATACAAACCTTAAGAGGTGATGTTGGGGGGTCAGGGAAGGAAAAGATATTCCGGGTGTTATTGGCACTGCTGCCACGTTTGCTCACCTGAGGAGGCCAGTTCTGAAATTGACTTCTTTGTGATGTGCGACATGAAGCCAACGATAGAGAAAATAACAAATCCAGCAAATACGCTCGTGGTGGAGTTTATACAGCAAACAATAATGGAGTCTCTGGAAAAGAGAAAGGAAGAAAAGAAGCCATTTTCAGGTCCCTACCGAATAGATGAGGAACAAAGGGTGGGCAAAGAGAAGACTAAGCCTTCCCCACTAGGGAGGAGGCAATGTGCCCCTTAGCTGCTTAGTGACAGAGGGAGACAGCAGAGGCCAGGCACCCAGACTTGCTGTGATGCCTCTATCCCTGCAAGCACTCAGAGCAGTAGCAGAGGGGGGCTTTGCTGGCCATTTGACGATGGTCACAATGCATGATTCTCTGCTGCTTCCACCACCAAAACCCAACAGAGCCAGGAAAACCCAACAGACCTGTAGACGTTGTTGTGAAAAGTGTTGTAGCTCCCCAGTGCAATCAGGGACCCCAGCCCCAGGCCATAGGAGAAGAAGATCTGTGTGGCTGCATCCATCCAGACCTGCAGAAAGGGAACAAGCTTTGTGTCTGTCCTCCACCATGCAGTCAACTTGGTGGACTCTGCTCGCCGTTAACCAGTCTCTGGTCCATCTCTTTCTCCCTGCAGAGACTGATGACCTGCTACACAGGGTTAGTGTGGGCTGCAGGCTATCCAGCACTGGGCCAGTCAGGAAATCACAGAATCACAGAATCACAGAATTGTAGGGGTTGGAAAGGACCTCCAGAGATCATTGAGTCCAACCCCCAATGAGGCATTCCCAATCCAGAGGGGAGGTTCCTTTGCTGGGGTAATTTCTCATCCCTCATGGACAATATCACCTGATTACAACAGAGATGCTGCATGGCATTCCACCCATTAACAACCTGAATTTTGTCTCAAACTGTGAGGGTAATGACTACCCAAGTAGGGAGATATTCCTTTTCAGTTTTAGTTCTCTCTTAAAATATTGAAGGAAACACTGATGTGAAGATAGCTGGGCATTAGAACTACCAGCAAGACATTTACAGCCAGGCAACCAACCTCAGAGTCGGAGAGCTTCCTGAAGTCAGGTGTGAGGTAGAAGAGGATGCCCTCCTTGGCCCCGGGCAGAGTGACTCCCCGGAAGAAGAGGATGAACAGCATGAAGTAGGGGTAGGTGGCTGAGAAATACACCACCTACAGGAGATACCATGGGATAGATACTGTCAGTAATTCCTGTCCATGGTGGCACTGCATCACTGTGTATCCCCCACCATCTTTGAGGGGGATAAGGTCCCCAAGCACTGCTGTTCAAGGCTGAGCCTGTAATCACGGAGAGAGCAGCCTGCACAGCCCCCAAAGAGAAGAAATTGATTGATATCCTCCTGGTATTTTCCACCTCACACTCCTAGGCAAGTAACATTTCTGGCTGTTTCTCTGTGCCAAAGACAAGCAAGGATGCACTAATCGCAAAAGTAGCAGGCGAAATTCTAGATGGATTGCCCAAAGACAAGAGGATTGCAGAAGGATAAATTTAGTCCACAGAAGTAATCCCTTTAAATCATCGCATCCTTATTTTGCAGAGCTAAAGCCAGCATTCCACTAGTCCAATGCATCAAGAAACATTAGCTCTCTTGACTCCAACTCTTCAGAGAATTGCAAGCATATGCCATCACTCAACAGGTAATGGCAGTCACTGGGCCTTTGCTGTGACTGTGTAGCAAAACCCCATCTGAGAACCCCTAGGGGTGTCAGCAGTTGAGGTGACCTCCCTCTGAAGTGCTTCTTTCTGATCTTCACTGTAGATTATCCCTTTCACAATGCTGTCCCTCTAACATCATGCTGTGCTCTAAATAACACACCTCAGTATCTCAGCATTCCCATTTCAATAAACTAAGCAATTACCTCTCAACTGTCCTGGTCTGAAATGCTACACAGTGAATAATCATATACTTCTGATCCATAGGTATCTCACCAATACCTAAACGGCAGCAGAAAGATTTTCTAAAGAGATGGTGAGTGCTTTTCAGTCCACAGCATTTCAAGAGACGCTATTATTGTAGGGTGGAACCTAGAATAGACATCATCATCTTGGAGAACTGTCCTGATGCGGGTTAACAGTAGTCATCTCTGAAAATCTCTTTCCCAAATCTTCAGAGAGACTGAGAACGTTTACCTGCGACTTTGTGGGGAAGAATCATTCTCTACACTTAGATTGAAAGTTACCATGAACATAGCAATTTTTACAGCCGTGCAAGGTAAATGTCAAGAATTTAATAGCATCTACTGCAATTCAGCCTTGAAGCACCGTAACATTAGTTACAGACGCTCAGACTAAATTGAGTCTGGAGGACATTTTGACAGCACCGAACCACCCATTCCTCACACCATACCTTGCCTGTCCACTCCACACCCTTCCAGATGGAGAAGTAAACCAGCAGCCAGGCCAGGGCCAGTGTGCCAGCCAGAGGCCAGCGGATGGATCCAGGCTCCCCCAAGCCGCCGGACATCTGGTGCATGTTTCTCCTAGGGTGGAAGAGGCTGTGTTAAGGGAAATTCTGACCCTTGGGGGTGTGACGATTGGAGATCTCAGTGGTGCCTGGAGAGCGAAGGGCCAGATGCAGACATGCATGAGAGCCCACAAGACCTAGAGGGACCTGCGGCACATGGTGAGGGGCTAAGAGAAGAAGGATAGATGCAGTGAGGCCATTACTCTCCATTCATCTGACATGCAACCGCACAGTGCTCCCCACCCTGTGCCTGCCCCTGTTAGCAGCCAGTTCTCCAAGGTCTGGAGTTGACAGGGAGGGCAGCAGCCCTGGCAGACAGGTAGGATGGTTGCAGTGGGGAGAAACCTGGTGTAGGCAGGCTGTGACGTACTCCCAGAACTCGGTGACGGCACTGGTGAGGTTGGTGGTGTCATCCAGGGAGTAGTTGGAGAAGCAGCGGTCGGTGTTCCAGGCATTCCCGCAGCTCTGCCACGGCAGGTCCTGGGGGCACAGCTGTTGTTAGCATCTCCAGCAAGGAGTGAAACCTGTCTTTCTTTAAACTACAGACACAGGTTGTTTTTGCAAAGGGGGTGGGCAGCTCATCTGGATGGGCAGAAGCTTTGCAGCAAAAGGCATTAAACAGTTTTCCAAAATAATAGTTAAGTGTGAAGCAGACTTTTCCAGGAAATTATATCAAGAACATGATTAGGGCAATGTCATAGCTCTAATAAAATGTAGCAATTCCCCGGATAGTAAGCTATTTCCAATTAACTGTTGGTAATTAATAGCTACTAATTAAAATAGCTACCAAGGGATATTGTGTTTAGAATCAATATGGCTTTTGGCTAGTTTCACAAAACAAGTGGTTGGAGTTTTCTACACAAAGAACAAACACTGATTCATTCCTTATCTCCCATTCATACCGAGCCCCAACATATGAAAAGCAATGTAGCATTGCAAATCGGAGGCTAAAAGTCTGTCTATATGAACAAATTATTGTAACATAAGCTTGGGAGTAAATATGAAGCACAGTAGCTATTTCACGTCATCTCCTCCCCCGATTTTAAGCATTACAGAGGAGTTCCTGGATATTTTGATGCAGTGGCTAACAGCATGGTAGTAGTGCGTTGCTGCAGATTGAACACTGTCAGCTCTGGAGCTGCAAGCAATGAAGCTGCAGCATCATGGGCTGTATGAGCACACAGGCAGCTCACCCGTGCCCCGTCATGCCATGCATAAACAGTTCAGATACATCCCTGCACGCAGCAGTCTTGTTTCCTGAGCACAGAGAAGGCATGACCAAGACATGTAGATGGATGCAGAAGGGCTATTCTGGATGATTTCCCTTTGTAGATAAAGCCTTGGGCTCCAGCTTGACAAAGTCTTTGAGAATGTTTGCGTCCTTTCTTGACCATACAAGAATACAGCCTCTTTTTAAGATATTTTCTGTGTTTTAAGTGCTTTGTGGCATCAGAGCCTGCAAGGAGCACACTGGTTCTGCACAACGGCTGTGGAGGGACAGATAGGAACACCCCAGTTCCCCCCCCCACACACACCCTCCCAAGCTATTTGCATCCATCCTGTGATTTTGCTGTGAAGGAAATGCAGAGGCTCAAGCAGAGCTGCAGAGCAGCCCTTCAACCAAGTACCCTGCACGTCAGAGATGCAGCACAGCTCTTCTAGGAGGGGAGGGCATGGGGACATTTTGTTGCTGCTCTATTTCCTCTGGATCTCAGAGGACAGAAGCAGCAGCAGGCAAGCTGGGTTCCCTGTTCAGGTTCAAAATACCCCTACTCAGATTTAGGAGGGGCAAGGAACAGATGTCAGCCAAGCTCTGTGACTGGCACCTTCCAGGAGCTTTCTGGAGAAAGCAAAGGTGTCTGGAGAAAGGAAAGGCTCACTTTCTGTGAGCCAACACCTGAAGCTGCCTGTGGAGACACCAGCACTGTGACCAGCCAGGTCTGTGACATCTGAACAAACCAAAGCCACATCCTAAGATGCATCTTCACAGGGTGAGAAACTGTTCCCCAGGAAGCAGGGAGTAAGGACTGTACAGCTAATGCCATGTCATAGAAGTCTGTGACTCACTGAAGTGAAAGAGTTGAAGAGATAGTAGAGAGACCAGGCAATGATGACAATATAATAGATGTTCAGCCAGAAGGAGAGAACCACAGCTGCCAGCCCCACTCCTGCAAAAGAAGACAGAGAGCAGCATCAATCCAGGTCTCTGTGCTCAAGTGAGCTCCTGGGCATCACAGAAAGCTCTGTGGCAGAGCCAGAAAAAAACAAGGTGATTTACCCATGTGGCACACAGCACAGATACACTGTGCTCTCAAGAGAGCTTCTCATCTACCCATTTAATAGAATCATAGAATCATAGAATCACAGAATGGCCTGGGTTGAAAAGGACAACAATGATCATCTAGTTTCAACCCCCCTGCTATGTGCAGGGTTGCTAACCACCAGATCAGGCTGTCCAGAGCCACATCCACCAGGTGAAAATTTCAGTATGCTAGATTGCCCCTTATAAACAGGATTTGATTACTTCCCCAGATTTTAAGGGTCAAGGACAGGGAAAAAATGTCCCTGAGTTGCTCCCCACCACAGTCCCCAGGGCTTTGCTTCCCAAACCATTGGAAGATCTTTGTAGGCACATCACCACCTTTACCAACTTACAGCACAGTACCTTTAAACATGGGTGCTAATTTCCAGACTCCCAGTCCTCCCACAGAGGTGTACTGGCCAAGAGCAGTTTCCAGCAGGAAGAGCGGGATCCCAGCAAACACTAGCGTCAGGAAATAGGGAATGAGGAAGGCCCCTGAAAGAAGGAGCAGTGTTACCAGATGCCTCTCTGTTTCTCCATCAGCACCCATGCGACGATGAGCAGACTTGCTTGGAGGTGACAACTTGCAACTGGGCTTGATGTGTTCATAATGTCTCCTACTGAGATCACCGCTGCCTTCCCCTTCTGTGCTCATACCACTGTGGATATTTATCCCTCATATGATGTAAGTACATACACCATAGCTAGTGATACTGCTAAGCCTCACTTATTTGGTAGATACTTGGGTGCTGCTTAACCCAGTATGACAACAAAACCAAACACTCAGGTACTGACATTGGTAGCTTGCTGTCATTGAAGTTCTGTTCTACTTGTAGCAGTGCTTTCACCTTGAGGAAATCGACACAGGAATATCAGGCATTGGCACTGCTTTTTCAGTTCACAGCTGTTTCAGTCCTTCAGGGAATCTGTGACAAAAACCCTATTTGCTCTTAGTGCACCTCCCCACTCTTCCCCTAGTTACCTTGAAGTTACCAGTGAAAACATTATTTCTATGGACCCTATTATTAGCATGGACCCTATGGAAGTCTTATTGTCACTAGAAGTACGGCTATCCAGCATATGGATTATTTGTACCCCAGTATGAGAAGAAGCAACAAAATAGATGAGCCTCGCCATGCGATTTGAAGGCTGTACGAGTTCAGGTCACTCTGACTTCCAGGACTCAGCACAAAGCTCGTTTTCCAGCTGTCTGGTACATGTGCTGGAGCCTGTCATTATCCCCGAATAGAACTAAGTCTTGCAGAAGATCCTGGCAGGGGAAAGAGGAATTCTATTTGTGCAGCAACAGCTGGCCAGGTGCAGGGTAGCACTGATGTCTGCACCATCCGGAGGGCCCAGCTGTCAACCCAAGTCTTCTTCTCCGAGTATTAGAGGGAAAGCAAGCACTGAGGCAGCCAGCAGAGCTTCCCTGCAGAGCCCAGCCAAGCTCCCCGAGCTGCTCTCTGTGGGCAGGAAAGCATCAAGGCTGTGGCAGCTGCTGCCTTTGGGGCACCCAGCTGAGGATGCCTGCGTGTCAAGCAGGGAGTGATCCCAGCTGGGAGAGGCAGGTACCAGCACCCAGCATGGGACTCACTGAAAGCTGTTGTGCTGAGGAGCTGGCAGTGGATGGTGGGGAGAAAACATGCTGTGGGCCTGCAGCTCAGTGTCTGTAAGTCTGAATTGCAAGCTGGCATGCAACCCCAGGCTCTCGCCTCTGACAGCAGCTTGGTGAGGGAGAGCTTTGAGGATGGCAGCTGGAGAGACTCTGCCCATGCAGCATCCTGCCCATGGGCTAGGTTCAGCCCCAGGGCCTATGAGAAAGCCAGAGGCCATGGATGCTGCTTTGGTGTACAGCTATGGTAGGCTGAGCTTGGTGAGGACACAGTGCTCAGCTGGCTTCTGTGCTAGCAGCTAATGAAATTTGGCCACTCCCCTGATGGATTAGCATTTTTCATCTACAGCAGGCCAGAAAAGATTTGTGAAAGGTTTTATTAGACTATGAAGAAAAATAAAAAGACAACAAACCCAAAACATGTAAACCCAGATAATTTATCCTGGCTTAACCAAAAGTCCTCTGGAATAGGAGCAAATCTACCAGCCAGGCTGCAGCCTTGAGCTGAGGGCTATTGGCAGGGGTGGTACTGCTCTGGAAGGCTAGGTCCCTCAGCACACTCTAAGAACACACCCAAAGCTGCACTGCCAGCTGTGACATCAGTTCAGGAATTTGTACCTAAAATCTGTGTGCCTGGCCTCACACCCCTCTGCAGTTTTCAGTTCTCATGCCATATAGGGAGGTATAGCAGTCTTAAACCAGCAAACACTGCCCACGGATGAGGAGCTGAGCATTACAAGCTGCTATGTGCCTTTTCTTGGCATCTCAAAGTGCAAATGAGAAGTGTGTGATGCTTATTTAAAGAAACGTTTCTCTCAAGTTATTCAAGCTCAGGATCTGATAGACAATTTTTAGCACCTTCTGAGCCACATTTAGAGTCAGACTGGAGTCCAGCAAATTCCTGTTGACATCAGAAGGACAGCACAGGGCTGAGTGTTAGTCACTGCTGGGCACATGCATCCATCAGCACACAGAGCCACTGGGGAGCCAGGCATCTCTTGGGGTGATGCCTACTCTGTGCAGCGGATGGGGCTCATGGAAGGCCGCTGTACCCAGGGTGAATATCCCCTAACTACATGCCCGATTACAGCACAGAGCAAGTGAGCCATGAGCTGATACAATGTGATGGCAGTAAGTAAGCCATGTTATTTCCATTCAGTCCAGTTGGCCTGTGCGTAATGGAAGCAGCCCACAGCCCACACCCCATGCAGTTCACATGAAGGATGCTAAAATTAGCATCCCACCCTCTGCCTGCTCCGCTGGGGCCGTGCCAGGAGCTGCCATCAGATGCAGCACGACCCTTCCTCGCTGCTCCCCACTGGCAGCCAGTGACGCTTGTGTGCGTCACTTCTGTCCCTTACAGGCATCAGACGTTCACTGCTTCTCATTGCTGGCTGTGGGAACAGCCAGAGCAGGCCAGGGTAAGCAGAACAAGAGGTGCAGGCTGCCATTAGCTGCACAGCCCAGCATGTGAGGTAGGGATGAGAACACGGGTACCGGTTCCCCTATTACACCTGCACAGCACTTTTGCTGGCAGCCAGCTGGTCCCTCGGTGTGCCTGCAGCTGCCAGGTCAGAAATTACCCCCTGTGCCATTACTAATGCTAATTACAGCATTTTACACCTCCGCAGCTCAGTCCCTCTTAGGATCTCAGCTGGTTTTATAAATAGGATTGATTTTATCTCAAATAAATCTCTAATTATAGGTATTACCATCCCCACTTTTATATCTGAGGAGATGGGCAGCCATGTATGCAGTGTGTCTGAGATTGCAGAGCCAACACAGAGCAGAGGATGGGCTAAATCTGAGCAAACATGGGTACTGGTACCAGGTATGGGCGCTGGAAGCCTGCATCACAGCTCTGAAAATAGTGGGAAAAGGGAGGGACAGCGTGGGTGAGCTGAAGCAATGAGAAACAGTCATGATAGCCACAGAAGAAGTAGGTTTTGAAAACGAAACTTGAGGGAAGAGAAAAAGGTGTGGAGAAACTAAGTGAGAACAGGAGACCCTCAGAGCTGCACGAATGAACATGACCCTCGTGTTGCAAAATTGTTTTTTTTTCCAACATTGGGGAAACATTCCCTCATGCTTAATCGTCTTTTCCAGCCTTAATGATTCTATGACTCCATGACAGAAACTCTGGGAAGGGGAGAGCTAAGAGGAAAGTAATCACCAGCACAAGAAGGCTGACATGATAATAAAACTATACGTACCGCCTGAAAGGTGAGATGAAGGAATTTGGACCTGTGGGGAACTCTGAGTAATAGCTCAAGGAGGTAAGCAGCACATTAAGGAGGGAGGGAAGGTTAATTTACTAAAAAGCAAAAACACAGAGAGACAGATGTGGGGGAGAAGAGCTGTCTGCTCTGCTAATGTCAGAGTAGCACATATTCCCCTCTACAAAGGCATCTCTGTGATGATTCTGAAGAAACATTACCATTTTACAAAGAAAAGCACAATGGTGTTTTATGATTTCATCCAGTTCATGCAGCAAGTCTGAAACTGGGGAGGGAGCTGACCTTCTAGCTCTCTTGATTTCTGGCCCAGCACTGTTTCCATCTGCCCACTAGCCGCTTGCGCAGACCCACAATAACCCAGAGCCTGTCCAAGGAACAGGCTGCTCAAAAGTGAGAAAAGATGTTATAAGTTTCTCTTACTGTAATGGTACAACATGATGGAAAACACAGTAATAATGGCGAGGGAGCAAAGTCATAGACTGCAGCAAATGAGAACAAGTCCAAATGCTGTAGCCATGGGCAGAGAAATGAAGGAAGAAAATTTGCTTGTCCTTTTAAGCCTCAAGCAGGCAGGGATCTCCAGCAAGTTACCCTTGTCTCCACTGCCAACCCTTAAATGAGGTCTGTGAAGGGCTTGATCCTCGCTCCACCCCCTTTCAGTCACTCTGGTACACTGCATGCACCTGAGCTTCCCTGGGTTGGCTGTGTCTTCCCACCAGCTGCTCAATCACTGTTTCAAGCCACGACTTAGCATTTCTGCTACACTCACCTCCTCCATTCTTGCCACAGAGATACGGAAAGCGCCAGACATTGCCCAGCCCAATGGCATAGCCCACACAGGACAGTAGGAAGTCAAACCTCCCCTTCCAAGAGCCCCTGTCTGGGATCTTCTTCTTCTTGGTGCTTGGGGCCTCTGGGGCAATGGGCTCCGGCTCTTCCAAGGCTGCTTGTTTCACCTCAGAGGGAGAGCTCAGCTCCACAGAGGTGTTGTCCATCTTGCCCATGGTGACTCAGGTGTATGGCTGCCCTTGCTCAGAGGCTGGAAGAGCTGAAATGGCAGCCTTGGCCCTGGTCAAACTTAGATGAAACTGGAAGTGCTGCACAAACCTCCTGGCAAGAAAGCAGAGAAAGAAATTACCTTGTGTATGTGTCAGGTTCAGGGTAGGGCCTCACTTAGCTGAAGTAGACTTGCTAGGTAGACTCATGCACACTAAAGCAGCCTCCCTGCTTTCCCTAGAGGTGAAACAGGATAATTCTGCCCTTCAGAAGAGCTACAGTCACAGGCTGCTAACAATGGGCATAGAGCTGTTTGTTACCAGCATATAGCAAATGCTTCACCCCTCATCTCCCCCTCATCCCAATACTTGCTCTGTGAAAAGCTCTGGGACCAGTGTTCACATGTGAGCGCAGTAACAGTGAGTTACCCACGGAGCAGTTCAGCAGAGACATTTATCTGGCATGTTGAAGAGACAGTGGAGAAGCGCACATCAGAGGAGATACATCCACCAGATCCAGGCTTGAAACTGAGGGCACTGGCCACGGAGCCATCTGAGAGATGGTGTGGCCCAGCTGCCCATGCATGGCTGGTGTCTATGGCTTTTGCAACAGCACTCACACTAAGGACATGAGTGGATATAGGCAGCCCGTGAGCCACTGAGATTCCACTAAGTCAGGATTCTGTATTTCTTCTGGCTGTATCCTCTCCCCTCAACACCTGCCCTTGGCCAGCGCAGAAGATGGGCCTGTGGCCAGTAAGGTATTGTCTCTCTGTCATGTCTCAAGCCATTATCCAGAAATGTGAATTTAAGCCTCCACCAGGGGCCATCACTGTGACCAATGTTGCGGTCTGCCAGAGAAGTCTGTTGACAAATACGTTCCCAGATGCACAAATTAGAAATAAACATAAAGTGGATATATCAGGAAACAAAGCAATGCTATGAGGAGTTGGCATGCCGTAGCAGTTAAAACTGGCCCTACTTGAGCCTCTTATTCTTGCTAGCCTCATTGCCTAACCAAATACCACCCATTTGCCCTGCAGGATGCTTGTGAGTTTCTAAAATTTTTTTTAACAGAGACACCCTCCCAAGTCCAGGCTAAATGACAGCATCATCTCCTGTTTACTCCATGACTACAGCAAATGGATTTCCTTCCTCTACAGAATTTGCTATGGAGGTTAGAAAAACTATGCCAATTACAAAGAAAATAACTGTAATTCATTCCACTATAATTCATTCTCTACATCAAGAGAGTACTCCTAGCTGTAGGATAAAAGCTGTAACCTAAGCCCTATGAGTTTCAAAGCCAGCCTAGAGATGCACGGCTCCTTTAGCCCAAGGGTGGTTGCAGGTAAGCCCAGCAGTAAGTGACTGCACACAGGCACCTCATGAGGAGAAGAGACAGTTTCAAATAGCCCATGACGCAGATGCCAGAAGAAAGCATTTCTGGACACCCAGCATAGTGGCTAATGGATCTCCTTTTCCATCTTGCACTTCGTAATAGCACTGTCACACCAACTCCCAGCTCCTCAGAAAGGCAAGGAGTAAAAAGATTATACGGAGCATGTAGGAGGAAAGTAAAATAAAGACAATTTATAAATCAAAACAGAAGAAATAGCACCAAAACCCCTGGGAAGAATTCAGAGCTGGGCTAAGTCAGGATAATTAGCTATGCCTGGAGACATAACAAATTAGGCTCAGCAGAAACCATTTTGACTTTTTTTTTCCTGAGACAAAAACCAGTAGGTAAGCTGTTATCTTAATATATATATCCTGCTCTCTCTGTGCTCTTTTCATCTGTTCTTGCTGCCGCAGCTCAGTGGCAATACTGTACATAGGTGATAACACTCTATATTTCATGTGCTAGAGGTTAGGATGATAAAGGAGCAGCAGACCATATTGACAGTTTCTTCTACCCTGAAAGTGAGTTCCATCATCTCCAGCTTAAGAAAAACAAATTGTGCCAGTCTTTAACTAGATTTATGTATGTTTTCCTATAGCCAAGGGACATCATGAAAACTGAACCCACTGAAGGTCCTTCCTACATACTGTCCTGTCTCTTACAGTGGTGGATGATTAGACAAAAAATAGAGGACCACAAGAAGTTTAGAGTGATGTCTCTCATAGTACATCCAGCTTCTTGAGCCAGGTTTTGCACCTGCATTTTGAGGTTTAATCAAGTCTGATGGATTTTTCTTCCATCAGACATCTATCAGAGATACATCTGTCAGAAAGACATTTAGCCCTGGGGCACATCCTTTTCAACTCTTCCCTCGCCATTGAACACATTACTCAGTGAGGGATACGAGCAGTGGGACATGTCATCTCTCTTGAGAAAGTTCTGAGTAGCCTCCAGGCTGTGGATGACTATAGGATCATAGAATCATTAAGGTTGGAAAATACTAAGCCCACTAAATCATGTCCTTCAGTGCCCCATCCACATATTTCTTGAACATCTCCAGGGTTGGTGGCACCACCACCTCATTGGGCAGCCTGTTCCAATGCCTCACCACTCTTTCTGAGAAGAATTTTTTCCTAATACTGATCTGAACCTCCCCTGGTGCAACTTAAAACCATTTCCTCTTGTCCTATCACTGTGACCTGGGAAAAGAGGCTGAGAAGAGACCATCTCTGCATTTCCCATGCATCTGCTCTCAAGTGTCTCATTTCAAATAAAGCACAGAAGTCTTAAAAAGCAATTTCAGTTGAGGTGCAGAGTGTGCTGACAAGAGCAGTCTGATGCCTGTAGAGCTGCATTGTCCCTGAGATCTGCCCTACAATCATGGTGGCAAGGTCCACATGTCCCTTCCCAGGACATACAGATATGGTCAGGAATAATCCTGGCATCATCTGCTCCCAGGTGCAGTGTTTGACTTCTCTGTTTGGGCACAAGTTCACATACTGGTCGAGCAGTCCTATCAGGACAAAATGTACCAGCTTCTCTGCTTGACCGCATGGTCTCTTCCATTCCAAGCACAGGGCTGTGTTGACAGCCTGGAGAAATCAGTGTGGGCACAGCAGCTCTGTCATGTCACATTATTTGTTCTGAAAAGTGCATGGCACTTTGGGCACAGCAAAAAGCCTGAAGGACTGAGAATGATAATCAATAAGAGCAGAGTTACCAGCTGGAGGTGGGCTGTGCTTGGCAAGGCCTTGAAAACAAGGTCAAAGAGTTTAAACATGACACTGCAGCAGGTTTCTTGTTCAGCTTCTTCTAAACGCATCATGAACTGGAGTCAAGACTCTCAAAATAGCCACTAAAACCAGGGGTCACAAATCCCTAGCAGTGAAGCAGTAACTTGAGTTTCACAGTGCCATGGTCTTCTGTTGTTCAGGTTGATGGAAACAATTGTATAGTCTCTCTTGGTTGCAAAGCCAGGCTGCAGAGCTTTCTGGAAAATAGTCCTCTGCCTCCTTTTGGAGGAGTTTCTCCGAAAATAAGAAAATAGCCCTGAAAATGTATTACCTCCACTTGAAATGCTGCAGCCTGAAACTGCTAACAATGGTGACCTTTTCACTTTCCCCTGCTTTAGTGTGAAATATTAACAGTCTCCTCAAATCTGACAGAAACAAAAATTTCAATGGCGTAAAATTGCCTAAAATGAAACAGCAAAATTACTTGTGGAAACGCGTGGGGAAAAAAAGTGCTATCGCACCTCCCCACCTCTTCTTTGTCAGAGCTGTAACAGCCACGCAAATCACTTTTGACCTGTGCAGGTAGAGCCACAATTAGTTTAATTACACGGTGCTGGCTGTTGTTCAGTCAATTAAACTTTTCCTTCTATCCACACCATTTTAATGACAGCCAAGTAGCCCCAAGGCTCTTGCTTCGTGTTTGAAGCCATGACCAGCTGATCAGGCCACAGAAGGCTCTGCGCTGATTTTTGGCTGGCTGCAGCAGCAGCATATGCTTGAGCTTCCTGCATCTCTAAAAGCTGTGGGTGACAGAGCTATTCTGGGGGCAAGAGACAGATCTATAGCTTGGATCTACTGGCCTCTGAGGTCAAATACCAGCTTATGGTTGGGTGAGCACCAAGAGGTAGCACAGCAGGGGCTTTGCAACTGGCCAAAATTCTCAAGGCCAGACTGTTGAGCAGTTTGTGTCATAAGATGCTTGCATGAAAAGTAAAACACTTTCAGCATGCCCCAGTGCCTCCTGCATAAGTAATCTGCCCCCAGGGCAGATCACATCCCCTACTTGCTCTAGGCACCAGTGAGGGACAGAGCAGTTTCTCCTGTTCCTCTTGCCACACAGAAAGTGGCAGGAGAGAGTGCAGGAGAGCAGCCTGAGATGCTGACAGGATGCTGACTATGTTCTCCCAGATTTGAGAAACATAGATGCTCCAGCTCATCAGAAACCTTCCCCCGAAGAGTTGATTGCTGGTTACAGAGAAGTCCGCACTGATGGAGGGCATGATAAGAGAATAAACCAGCTCTACAGGAAAACCAGCAGCTCCTCTACCCTTCTTTTCCACTCTCCTGCACAAGATTTGTGTTGTTGATGTCCAAATCAGACCCATGGCTCTTGCCCAGTCTCCCTCCTCTGCCTGCAGCTGCCTGTGACCCAACAACATGGTTGGCAAGGTCTGTTTGTTACCACACTGTGACCCTGTCCAGCTGAGAGGGGTGGTGGGATCTTGGATCATGTTTCTGAAGCCATGGAACAAGCGGAAGACATTGAGCAAGCAGGATGTCAGCGAAAGACAGAATACATGTCAGATCACTTGGCCCTGGTTCTAGGAGAGCAGTGGGAGTCCCTTACAGCCCTGAAAAACATCTGAAGAACCACTGGGCTGCTGGCTTTGGCTCCTGCTTGCTGCTTGGTCACTTTGTCAAGCAACACCCACCTTAATTTTTGCATTACGTGAGCAGAAAGAACTGGGTCAGCTGTTCCAGCCTCCTCCCCCACTCTGGATGCCCACTTAAGTCTCCTTGGGCTTCTCTTCCTGCAGGGGAAGCGGGGTCAGAGCCTGCTTCCCGTCACAGCCCCTACTTCACTGCTCTCACCTCAGATGGCACTTTGTAGCAAAGCGTGGGGTTTTTTTTTGCCTTAGTTTATAAAAGCAGCTGAACAACACAGACAGCACACTTTCCCCTATCAGCACAGAGCAGTGT